TGTCAGTGTAAAGATAGTTAAGAGGGTTCCGAACAAATTTTCAAACATTTTTTTGAAAAGTAACTGTTACGATGTGACACCTGTCAATTGAAGTATACGCTTTTGAAGAAACAGCGGTACTTGTGTGACAAACACACACAGCTGAAATTGCTGACAATTGTCTTGTTCTCGTGTAATAAAGAATTTAGCTATTTTCCCATTAACATGTCACGTTATTTAGATATATTCTAATAAGATACATTTGATTCACCATCTTTTGTCACCTTTTTTGTGTGGGTACTCGAAAACATTGAAGGGAAAATTAATCTGTTGCACGATCATTACAAGTAAGAGAAGTGGGTCGAATTGTTAAAAAATCAATTCATCTTCAAATTGATCTTTACTGATGTTCATAATTGATAAACTTGATATTTAGACAATCTGCATGGAAATTACTTGACGTTTTATAATTGCAGATGACTACTTCCTCTGTAGAAGCTAACTAAAGTCGAGAGGAGACTACAGTTGATTTATCAAAGTGGACTTTTCAGGATGGCGAGCGATTCGCACTCAGAAACCTTAGTCATCATAAATTGTATTCTGAACCTTCCACTGATTTTACTAAACATCGTGGGAAATGCTTTGGTTCTTATTGCCACTTCAAAGAGCCTTTCGTTTCGTTCAACTTCTAGGGAAATGCTCTCCAGTCTAGCAGTTTCAGATCTTCCTGTTGGCATCATCGCTCAAACAATCTTCCTGGCCCACCAGTTTCCGAAGGAGTCCTTTTTTAATAATCTTATTGTTCTGATAGTCTATCCCGTTTGTGGAGTTTCTCTGCGGACAATGACAGCCATAAGCATCGATCGATTTCTGGCCCTTCACTTCCACATGCGATATACAATGTAGGTTACTACAACCCGTGTGAGAATTTCGATTGCCATTATTTGGCTATAGAACTTCGTTTCGTCTGCTTTGTTTTACCTCTTTCCCTTTACATAGTTCGTTTTAATGGCTCTGACGACAACCACGGCACCTGCATATTAACTTGTTTACTGGCATATCTCGGGATGTATTTCATTCTCCGCCATCAACAGTTGCAAATTCATGTCCAGCAGCAGTCAGTGGAAAATCAAAATGCAACAGAAAACGTTAACGGTGTCAGTATGGCGCGACTTAAAAACAGTGCTATGAACACTTTCGTATTTTTCATCTTTTTTGTTATTTGTTACCTGCTAATGTATGTTCTGTCAACTTTCGCAGTATCAACACAGGCGCAGTGGATCAACACAGGCGCAGTGGATCAACACAGGCGCAGTGGATCAACACAGGCGCAGTGGATCAACACAGGCGCAGTATCAACACAGGCGCAGTATCAAAACAGGCGCAGTATCAAAACAGGCGCAGTGGATGATTGAGTACGATTTTTCCATCACAGTAGTGTTCCTTAACTCTGCCATAAATCCATTTATATTTTGCTGGCGTCTTCGAGAGCTTCGAGGAAACGTTTCAAAGACATTGAAAAAGATTTTTAGAGAACAAACAGACATTTACTAAGCTACTGAACATGTATTTTATTATTTAATTAGTTATGCTGTTAATTAAGAAAGTCTTCATGGAAGGAGAGAGACAATTCCATATAACGTCTCTTTGTCTGTTGCTAACTAACTATATAGGTATCTTAAAAAATTCAGTGTAACTAATTAGTATGAAATTTTGAATTAGCTTTCCATGACTAAGATAGATTCCAGGAAAAACAAAATGAAATAGATGTTAAACGGCAGCGAATTGCTATTAAACTTTGCATGAGCATTAAGATCTAGTGCAATTTGGAATTAACCCTAGTCCATTTTAGTCTTAATTGATGCACTAAGTTAGTTGGAAGCCTGTAGACGCTTCAGTGACAGTTTGTGTCAGGCTGCGGATTTCTATTCAGTTGTTCATGTACATAAAAACTCAGAGGCATTTTGGATGATAAGATTCTGACTGCACGGCGTATTCAATTTTTCCTTCAAAATATGAAATTCGCAATGTGTACCAAATGAATACTGTACAGTTATAGCCTACATGTGATGTTTAGTCTGTATATCAAATTGCAGTATAATTCGAAGTATTGTAACACCACCATTAGACAATAAACACACGGTGTCAAAACTTTTTAATATGCCAACTCCGAGATATCTAATTTTCTTACAAAACCCAACTGAGCACATGGTTATTGCGCCATACGTCACGTGACTTACAATAGTTACTTAGGGGGTACCCATGAGCAATCGCTTAACGCTATAGCATTATAAAAGAAGCTGCGCAGGTATAAAATGTAAATATTGTGAACAGGGTAATCTATTTTTTCCAGTACGAATAATGTAAGTACCGTGTGGTTTATTGGGAAGATATTGAATTTATGATTCTTCTTTTAGTTTACAAATTTCCTTATGCTCATGCCCGTTGTATTTCTAAGAACTTTCCACTTACTGTAGGAGGTCGTTTCACTTTGATCTATTAACAACGGTGACGTCGCTGAGTCATCTTCTCTGACTGTGGAACCTTTTTGTCGCTTTTTATTCATCAGTTGACGTTTTCAAAAAAGGCTACGAAGACTGACTCTTTGAAGTAGTTATATATTGAAAAGGTTTAAAATCGACTACATCACAGTTCTGTTTCGAGATGTTCTCTCTTCGGAGGTTAAAAAATAAAATAAAAGGAATCAAGTCAGTGCATACTTAATAAGATATTTTAAGGTATTTTAAGCGCCACAGATAATTTTTTTTTTTTTGAGTTCAGTAGTTTAGAAGTGCTCTATCATAATGTAATTAAATGAAAGCAAATCGATTGGTAATACATGACGGTGTTGGGGTCTGTGGGCTGGGTGGAGTTGTAAGCGACGTCATTTATTTCTTCATCGCAAAAAAAAAGTAGAATGAGGGTGAAATAAAAGATTTTCGAGGAAATGAGGGGCATTCCGGTGCTCATATTAGTAATTAGATGATAACAATATAAGACTGTCTAGAATTTTTTAGCATACCGTGTGGCATCAAGACATAGAAAATTTAGCTTTTATCCGGTTGAATGTCACCTTTCTATAAACAAATTTCTTGAAGGGAAGTACGTTTTACGGCCTCTTCGAAACATTCATTAGACTGTGGAGATTATTCAATGTCAACTGTTAACAATCTGTCATGCGCAGTACAGTCCCTCTTAAAAACTCTTCATTACGTGGCTTTTCATGAGCGATATAATTACCTAAAGGAAAGTAAACTTTTACAGTTAAATAAAAAAATATAGTGATAGCAAGGAGAGAATTTAATAAAGTTAAGAGACTGAAATGAGTGATTTAACCTCAGATACAGGCAGTTTCTAGCTGTTTGATGAACAATATATTGAATGCTATAAGAAGCTATACCGGCAGAGTGCAGTAAGAATTAGAGGCCATTCTAAAGCCCACACTTGTTTGTTTATCTGTCGTCAAATTACACACCAGAAGCATCTTAAGTTTTCAAATTTGAATAAAATGCTTTGCATCCACAAAAATTGGAAACATTACAGATTTGTCGATAGAGATGAACTTTCAAAGGCAAGCTGAGTTACTAAGGTAAGAATTAGGTGTAATCACTATGAGTTTTAATTTGCTAGAATGAGAAGAAGGGTGTGTTTTGGCACACTTTGTAATAAGAAAAAAATCTTGTCGCTCTTTGCAATAATGAACCATCATACTAAGTAACAAATTGTCGCAATTTGTAATAAGGAAGTTGTCTCTCTTTGTAATAATGGACCATCGCACTTTGTCACAAGATATTAAGCTGTCTTTGATACTTTGTAGGCAACACTTGTCGCTCTATTTAATAAACTTGATATAGATGGACGGAAGCTCGTGATCAAGTAAAGTACGCACTTGAATTGCCTAAAGAAAGCTATCATTCCTAACAGTTATAATAATAGTAATAACATTAAATATAATTATAACACTGAAAATGATAACAATATGAATAACAATGCGACAGAACAAGGGGAAAAAGTCATTACTGTTTGAAAATCATACTTTAGACGTCATTAATCCTCTCGTTGAATTGCTGACAGGCTTTAATGCCGCACGTGGGGGGACTGAATTTTAAAAATGCCGTCATAACTAGAATTAGAAAGAAGACATTTAGCTCTCATCATGCTATACCCCTTTCAAGGTTATAAACAGGTGCCTGCGAGTTGGGTATCGGCGAACCTAATAGTCTTGATGATATCCAATTCCCACATGTATGCCATATCATAGCTAGCCTATCAGATGATCCCAAACTCCACTATTTAAACAGTTAATTGCCTCACTCGGCCATGGATATAAATATATGTCTATATATTCAAATTTTTTTCAGAAATTAAACTTTCTTCTGTCAGCATCAAATCTCAATTTTTCTAAAAACATTTCCAACATGCAAATGCAAAGGAATTTTCAGAGGGAAAAAGGAAAAAATTGCAAAGAGGTATCAACACTAAAAAAAGAAACTGCTAGATAAAGAATGTCAAATAAAGAGAACGTAATATCTAGCCGAGAACATTCAATTATTCGGTTTATTTGTTTATACAGCATTAGTTGGTAATACCGCGCGTGGGCATTTGCTTTGGGAATTCTTAATAACACCTTTTCTATTCCTTATCGTGATAAATCTTCTAAGTGTTTAGGGTATAAATGAATGGAAAATACTCGACCGTCTATCATTATCGACCGTCTATCTATAACCAGATGCCGTGACCCTTTCTTATTTTACAACCCTTTTTTATTTTACAACATGTCTCCATGTGGGGATCGAACTGTCCCCTCGACCATTATCGCCCTTAGCGGTTCATGAATAACTCTTTGATGTTTGTCTTTGTTTCCAAAGTATAATTTCAGTGTTCCTTCTATTCAGAGTACGTTATCTTGATGTACAGGGACTTAAATAATTTACTCTTATGAGGATTGAACTGTTTTAATTCTTCCGTTTTAGGACTGTTTACCCAATATCTTCTGCACTGTTTTTGTCACTGCTTTACGTAACGTGCCAATTCGCCAGCAGAACAAAACCGGGTTAATAGACGAATTCATGAAAACTGCAGTCGTTGCGAAACCCCAAGCACTATCCCAGTTTTCAGTTACGAGATACAAGGTCATAGCAATAGACATTGGCATATAAAAAACAACCATGACGATAAAGAACACGAACGAATTTAACGCGCTGGTCTTCAGCTGTTTGAAGTTAGAGAGATTTTCTGTGGTTGAAGCTTGCACCGCTTGCTGTAGAGTACTGATCTGAAGTTTTTGACGTTTGACTATTCTATAGATCCCAATGTAGGCGACAATTGATATCAATAAAAATAATCCCACACCAAGAGCTATGAGGAAGAAATACACTAGTGGATTTAAATAATAAACACCTGAAAGAAGGAATATTAAAAACCAAATTATTGCTATCGCGTGTACAGTTCTAGACTTTGTTACAAGAGATGGATAACGCATATGGAAGTGAAGGGCCAAAAATCGGTCCACACTGATGGTCGTTATGGTGCAAAGAGAAATCCCACATGCGGCAAAGGACACCGTGAACCACAGACTATCCAAAAGCTCTTTCCTTGTGAGTACAGATGCTATATAAAGAGGTTGAATTAACGTGCCAACTAAGAGATCGGAAACCGCCAGGCTACAGAGAAGCAAAATGGACGATGAACGAAGTGACGGTGTTTTCAAGATAGCAACGAGTACCAATGCGTTGCCAAATATGGAGAGAATCATCAATGGGACATTTAAAGCACAGTTTACGATGACGGTAATTTCGGGTTGTGAGGAGTTTTTTGCGACTTGTGAACCATAAAATCCTGCACCACTGGGCATTTTTGAGTCTTGGAGATCGCTGTTCTATTTCATGTCTTACTGTGCTCTAGTGACAAGGAACTAATGCTTATCATTCATCTTTCGAACTCAATTTGGAGTGTTTTCTTGTAATATCAGTCTGTCAAGTTTTATGACATTAGATATCTTTTTATGGCATTTGATATCTATTTATGGCAAAGGCGAAAAAAGTTGAGTGCCAGCGCAATATGCACTTCGAAAGCAAACCTTCATATCAATGTTTTGTTTCTCTGAATCTATTTTCTTTAAATAGCATTAAAATCTAACGTTTCGTTTATAAACAGCTTACATTTTATTTAAAATGCATTTTTACACCTGGATTCCTTTCAAGATTTCGCCGTAAATGTCAGCAATTTTCTAATAGAATTATGACAATAGGAACAACCATTTGACAGAAACTGTAAGCCACACTGATTCAAGCGTACGATATGTTTCGTAATTAATTACTGTTTATTCAAGTCTATCACGAACTGCGATTTTTAACAGCAAATTTTATTACTTGCTTGTACCCATCAAAAGAATAGAAAATGACCAGAAATGAATTCTATTTGAGTAAGTCGGAATTGATTTTTAATATAACCACATTCTTGGTAATGCTGGGTGGGAAACAGATCATTAAGATGATATCATAAAGTGATCACCGAATCACGTTCGAAAGAAGAGTTCCTCACCAATCCGCGTGATGGGAAGAGACAAGCCTTTCTTTTCATGCGAAGCCATGAGAAAATAAATATAACAATATTTTAAGATTTGAAGGACACCCTCTATAAATGCATCACATTTTGTTAAGTGGCATTAAAAAAAATGGTCTTATGTAGGCTTATCATCACTCTCATTGAACAATCAAACACTGAATCTCATCGTCCTGCGTGCAGTGAAGTTTCCTCTTTGATAACACAAACATTGTCAAATCTGATCACGTTTCAATGACATCTCAGCCGACATACTCACTTAGAGATCGAGTAATTTACACGATATTTGTTGTTGCAATTTCAAAAAATACATGTGATTTGGCTTTTCCGGAAGATTTTTATTCCAAATTACGATTTTTGTGAGCAGGCCATGCTAAATCTCTGTGTATGTCGATATTATAAAATACGCAGGTTTCCCTATGACGTCACACCATATGATAAACATACTTTCGATAGCTAGGCTCGCACCAGGATATTGTGAGCGTTTGACAAGACAATTAAAAGTAGCCACAAATTATGACCAGAACTGGTTGATGCTCAGGATCTGAAAATTTGATTCGAAATTCAGTCCCGGTCCAACCAGTTTGATTGCGCAATGATGGTGCAGTTTCATTTTTCAAAAGTCATACGAAAGGATGTAGTCATACTGAATACGGAAAGACAAATTTTTCTTTTCTCGACTAACTGAAAACTGGGATTGGACTTGGGGTTTCCATAAAAATGCAAAAAAAGAACTCGGCCAATATCCGGTCATCTTGACCTCACGCTTGGTTAATAACGCATACATACAGCCCGATCTTCAGAAGAATATATTACTAAGTATGGATACATCATTTTACCATGTTTTTATCTAATCATCATCATCATAATTTTTTTTCGCCTCTAAAAATTTTGGTTATAGCCAGAGAACAATGTCAATTAGTATGAGTCAATGAACTTTTTATTTGAAGAAAAAAGCTGCAAACGAAGGTACGGGGCCTAATCAAATGCATCTTTTTTCCTTTTTCTTTTTTTTTTTTTTTTT